TGTTAAGCCAGGTGTCCCCCATCTTATATCTATGCATTTCATTTTCCCACTGCCGCAGCTGTATAAATATGCTTTATACCTGAGATCTTAAAACCACTTGGTACTGCATTTGAAGAAGTCGATATATAGCCACGAAAGCTCATGCAAAAATAAACAAGTTAGACATAGGACCTTATCCCACGGGGCCAAAAGCAGCAAGAATCCACTAAGAATCAGGCGCTATAGCGCTATACATTCCCGGGTGATCACACGACGTCGCTCAGAATCGGCTAAGAATCAGGCGCTATAGCGCTATAGTTTTCCGGGTGATCACACGACGTCGCTCAGAATCGGCTAAGAATCAGGCGCTATAGCGCTATAGTTTTCCAGGTGATTACACGACGTCGCTCAGAATCCAACAAGAAACCGCTCGGAATGCAGCATCATTCGGGTTCTTTTGAATGTCGGTTTCAGCGGGCATTGCAATAGCGCTAGCTTATCCATAGCGCTATTATAGCGCTAGCGCCATATTTATACTAGCGCTATAGTACTGCAATGATGCTCATATCGCTTTCTTGCCACTTTTGAGAGCAGCGTGGGATAAGGTCCATAGAGATACTGCCACATTTCTTTCTTCTTTGTCCCCCTCCCCATTCCTTCCTCCTTTTTATGGGTATGTTTAACCTGGACGAGTGAAGGTGAAAGGGTGACATGATAGCCATGTTTAAATATTTAGAGGGATGTCACCTTAAGGAGCTGGAGCAATGGATTCAAATGACAGAAGCAGGAAAAAGAAGATTCCATCTGAACTTTAGGAAGAATTTTCTGATGGTAAGAGCTGTTCAACAGTGGCATATGTCGCCTTAAAGTGTGGCAGAGTCTCCTTCTCTGGAGGTTTGCAAACAGAGGCGGGGGGGGGGGCATCTAGCACAGGGAGTGCTTTAACTGTGCATTCCTGCATGGCAGAAGCAAGTTGGACTGGATAGCCCTTGGGGTCCCTTTCAGTTCTTTGATTTTATTATTCGATGAGACTAACTACTTCTTTGAAAACTACTCTGGTTGGTATTTCTGCAGTGTGTGTATGTATGTATGTATGTGTGGGAAATGATTTAAAGTAAACAACACACTTGGTCCTCATTTATCCCTCTTATCAATAACTGGGCTTTCATTGCACCAATGAGCCATTTCTCGCCCTTGGTATGTGGTCTGCATGTGTGAGTTCTCCGTGCAAGAAATTTGCATCTGATCAGCACTGCTCAAAGCAAAGATGTAAATCTTTGTAAATTTTGTTCTCGTAGGGAAATAATTTTGCTGCCTAAATACCTAAGGGCACCAGATCCCATCTGATCGTGGAAGCTAAGCAGGGTCAGCCCCGAATAGAACTTGGATAGGAGGCTGCCAAAGAATCCCAGATGCTGTAGGTTATATTTCAGAGGAAGGGACTGGGAAAATGTATCTGAGTAATTATTGCCTAAGAAAGCCCTATGGGATCGCCATATCTTGGCAGCTGATTTGAAGGCACACGCACATGAACACACAAATAATTTCACAATTTATTTTCCACGCAGTTGTCAGACCATCCTTGAAAATTATGTGGCTTTTGAGGACTAACTGGTGTGTTGGGGTGTGTGTGAGGTCCATGATAGGTCAGAGGTCAATTTGCCACTGGATCCCATTCAGTCATCCACCCCTGAGTCCATCTGCATACCCTTCAACAGATCACAGATGAAAACAAACACTGGAGAGATCAGGGTTCGATTCCCTGCTCGTGCATAAAAACCCGTTGGGTGACCTTGGGGAAGTCACACTCTCTCAGCTTCAGAGGATGGCCATGGCAAACATCCTTCGAATAAACCTGCCAAGAAAATCCTGATAGGTTCACCTTAGAGTCGCCATAAGTCAAAAATGACTTGGATGCACACAATAACAAGGTGGCCAAGCAACATCAGAGTGTAGTCAAGATGGCAAAAGTTGTTAATGAGGAAAAACAGACAAATTTAGGGCCTTTGCAGACTGCCAGAAATAGTGCACATTAAATTGAGGCACTCCCCTGGCTCAGTGCTAGGGAATCATGGGAAATGTACTTTTTTCTAGGACATTGAGCCTTCTCTGTCAGAGAGCTCTGGTGCCACAATAAATTACAGTTCCCATGCAAAGGCCCTAAGAGAGGCTGCAGTTGGTACTTTTGCTTGACCCTACTGGGAAGGGCAAGGTTCCTCTCGCCTCCTCTCCTCTCCTTCTGTTGAGTTCATTGATTGCAAACTACTTTTGTATTTTGAATTCAGTTTGCAAAAATTGAAGCAAGCTGAGGTCAAATGGGGAAAACGGGAGGAGGAGAGAGAAATTGGGACATTTTAAAAGCAGCTAAAAAGTGGGATGACTGAGGATTAATTGGGACAGATTTAGATTGTTTTCATCTGTGAAATGTTGGCAGGCATGACATGGATATCTTACAATGTTTGAGGTGAATGCTGTCACTACTATACCAATAAAGCTTTTATGATATGTTTTGTGCATTTTGCAATGGCACCTTGTAGCACCTTTGAGTTTAATTGAGAGAAAGAAGTTGGTAGCATTGGATTTTGCTGCATTTTGCGATGTGGCCAACACAACTACTCCCCAGAATATGTTATCTGGATTTGAAGATACCAAATGTAGCTGCAACAAGGGAACCTTTAGCAAGAGGGAGCTAACAGACTGGGACTTAACTTTTTGAGGTTTCTACCTTTAACAAATGTAAAACTCTTACATTTGGACTACAACTGGCAAGTTTTATCTATACAGCACTTAAACATTTTTCCAGATGTAGCCATACAAGCCTTTGATTTTAACATCATCTCTTTTCTTCAATGTGGTGTAGTGGTTTGAGTGTTGGACTATGACTCTGGAGACCAGGGTTTGATTCCCTACTTGGCCATGAAACCCACTGGGTGACCTTGGGCAGGTCACATACTCTCAGCCTCAGGGGAAGGCAATGGCAAACCTCCTCTGAGCCAATCTTGCCAGGAAACCCCCATGATAGGTTTGCCTTATGGTCGCAATAACTCGAAAATGACTCAAAGGCACAAAACAACAACCACGACAACAGCAGTCTTTGTCAGATGAAGAAGCCTGTGAATCTTCAAAAGCTTACATCAGGGGTAGGCAACCTTTTTGAGCTGGGGGCCGGGTTGCTGTCCCTCAGACAATTGGGGGGAGCCGAAGCACCACAAATAAATAAATAAATATTAATTTTTTTTAAAAAATTAAAAAATTAAAAAAAAATTAAAAATATATATGCATGCACACTCTCTCAGCCCCAGAAAAACCATGGCAAAACCCCTGTGGAGATTTTGCCAAGAAAACCTCAAGAACAAGTAATAAGAACAATAATCAATATCATCATGGCGGGTGGTGGCAGCAGGGGGGGCGGTGGCGGCAGGACCAGCCTGGGGCCGCTCCAAAGGCTTCGGGGGGCCGCATCCGGCCCCCGGGCCTTAGTTTGCCTACCCCTGGCTTACATGGTATATTTTGTGTTTTTTGATTAGTCCAATAAAGGTATCACTGTATGGGGATTTTGTATTTTGTTGCATTTCACCAGATCACACTGTCTCTCATGACTACTTGAACCCTCCAGTTGTTGCATGCAGGTGCGTCTAGCAGGTGTTGCCCCTTGGGGATCAGGGCAGGGGCAACCTGCCCACCATTCAGCCTCCCTGTCCTAACAAGTCAAGAACAGAGTCATATAGCCAACCCATACAATGCTCTTGCAGAACAAAGCAAATGCACCTTCCTTTTTCCCAGGCCTCAGCAGCTGGAACAGTTTCAATTGTGTTGCCTAAAATAAGCACTTTGTGTGAATTTTCCAGAGGAAACCATTTGAAAAGAAAAAGAATAAGATCAAAGTAAATCGAGGGGAAAGGCTTGTGCGCTGACAGATCTGCTCCGGGAAAGTTTTTGCATCTGTCTTCCTGAATGAGGCGGAAGGTATGTTGATTTATTGGAGGTGTCAAATGTTGGCTGCTGTTGCTTTGTCAGGTTGGGAGTTGGCTCCATTTCTACTTGGGCTGCATTTCCACCTTGTACTCATAGGCTGAGATACTGCATGGAAGAGGATACTGGAAAAGTCTACATGTGGAACTATGCTGTGTCTCTCCCCTCAATCCATCACCCCTGGTCTCCCCATTTACCACTGAAGCCCTCTCCCTGCCTATTCGGTGGCTGGTGAAGAGAAGGAGATGGAGACTTTGGACTAGTGTCTGGCTATGTCCCCTTAGCAAGATGCAAACAGATGGCATCATCTGGTGAGATCTACCAGGGTTCTCCAGAGGTCTTGGTTGATGATTTTATTGTTCTGCATTTGGGGACATAGTCAGATACTTCTTCCCCCCCCTTTTTTTTTTTTGCTCTTCTGCTGGCAGATAGCTTTCTCAACAGATCTCTGAGATCAACCTGCAGAAAAGGCTTGTGGATAATCCTAACCTAATAGGTGGTGTGCCTTGATTTCACTCTCAACAGGCTCATGGAGAGGTTTGCTCATATGGATTAGTAGCTCTCTGCGGCAATAGTTTCCCACCTTGGCTCCCCAGATGTTGTTGGACTACCCAAAGCCTCAGTGAGCATGGCCAATGGTGAGGGATTCTGGGAGACATACAGTGCAATAACATCCAGGGACCCACAGATTGGGAATCACTGACATAGTATTTATGATTCTGGAGTAAGGAGAGAAGTCCTCTTATGGGCTGGTTACAGAACAAAAGAGATAGTACAAAGAAATGGAAGATGTCTCAGTGGAAGGGTCTAAACAGGGATGGAGATGGCATGCATCAGGAGTTAGCAGCGAATAATCAGATGGCCAAGCTTGATGGTGATGAAAAGTGAAGTAGTTGTGAGAATGAAGTGGCAGACCTTGGTGGCTAGGTCTCCTATGGTCCCATTTAGAATGATGTTCCTGGCTGCTTGGAATCCATCCTTGTGTGAATTCTTGGTATCTAGGGATTCCACATCCATAGTGGCTAAGATGGTGTTCCCTGGGAAGTTTGGGTGGACTGTAATTTCTACAAGAAGTAGGTAGTATCTTTCACATAGCTAGGAGTGTTGGTGGCATGTGGTCTAAGGATATTGTCCATGTATCCTGGGGCACCAGCTGTGAGTATTCAATTGCTTGAAATCATCCAAGGGCCACCCAAGGTTGCCTTGTTTATGCATTTTGGATAATCCAGACTAACATGGCTATGTCTTTGAAGAGAACCGGAAGTTCTTCTCCACACAGCATATTCTTATACTTTGGAATTTCTTTCTTCAAGATGCAGTGATGGCTCCCAACTCTGAAAGGAGGAATAAACAATTCAAGGAGGATGGGGGCAATCAATCACCACCATTCATGAAGGCTATATCTGAGGGCCTTCTTGGTGGCTGCTTTCAGGTTGTGGAACTCTCTCTTTGGGGAGGCTGGGATGTCTGGAATGCTTCATTTAAAAAATGTCCTAGTAAGTTTTCCTGATGTAAGAGCCAGTGTGGCATAGTGGTTTGAGTGTTGGACTGCGATAGTTTTAGGGGAAGGCAATGGCAAACCTCCTCTTAAGGACAGGAGAGACCCTCTCACAGCCGCAGGAGTTTACCGCATACC